AACAAAATATGTTTTTCAAGATATTTGTGTAGAAAGGAAATGTACATTGTCTTAAAAGACTATAAACGAAGATTTGATAAATAAATAATAATAATATACCAAAAATCAATTATTATTATTATTATACTCTTGATCATCATGTGGAAACGATTTCTAAGTAAATGATTTGTTTTATTTTTATAATTATTATAACAATATAAACAATTTAGTTGTGATACGAAATTTGTCATATACGATAATCTAATTGATTCTCGGATTTTATGGATTATTACCTAATATTATACATCATATCAGTTATGCAACTTATTGAATATTATGGAAGCGTTCGTTTTCACGTTATTTGAGAACTGGAAAATGTTATAAAAATAGCCGTTAGGCTGCCCGAATTTCGTAATGACTGACAATAAGAATTGAAAATATATCAAGTCTCAAAAACACCAAAGAATTATACGTATTCTAAAGTCTTAAATCGGAGAGTTTAGGATTACGATTCCTAGACATATTGTTAGGTTTCCACGAGACGCTCTATGTGAGTCATGTTTGTTTCTAAAAGCCTTATGAGCTAGCATCATTTACTAAGCTATCGTTAACATGGTCTTTGGTGGTTAGATCTTGTGTATGTTTGTGTGAGGATTTACGAAAGGGGTGAAAGAGGGAGTTTTATGATGGGGTGTTTTTCTTTCATTAGGATCAAAATCCTAGAATCGAAGCCTAGAACTATAACCATTAATCGAGGAGGTGTCTTATACTGTAGGTCTATGTACACAACATAGATTTATAATTAAGAATGTTGGTGTAGATCTATTTCGTATGGAATGATTTATGTGCGTTGGTCTTTTTCCCCATCTTGGTTGCTAGCTACAAGGCTTTGCATGGCTGATTAGGTCACAAACACTCAAAACACCCATTCCCTTTCCTTATGTAGCTCATAAATCATCCATGGTTCACTCCTAACATCCTAGATTGGATTTTTATGACTAATACACTAAAAAGGGGCAGATCAAGATCCTTGGAGTTCATTATCTCATAAAGTCTCCATCTTTTGGGACAAAACCCTAATATACTTAAATAACACGCTTATGACAAAGGAAAGGCAAAGGTTGAAGCTTTATACCTCAATAAGAAGCTTCCCACTCAGATTTGCTCGAATCTAGAAGCTTGGACTTCAACTCCTCCTTCTTCAAGACCTTCTCTTCTCTTCAAAATCACACAAACACTCTCAAGGCTCAATCACACATATAAAAGCTTTAAAAACGAAGGTTAGGGCACTCTTTAGGGTTTTATCTCTGGAAATGGTGGCTAGAAATAAGGCCATCATATCCCTTTTATAGGGGACTCACCCCAAATTAGGGTTGCACTCTGGGCCTAGTACGGCCAGTGTACAAGGTGGTCTCCACGTCACATGCACGCTGGTGAGTATGCTAAGCGTACACCTCAGGTACGCCCCACGTATGCGTTTTTACTCTTTTTATAATACGGGCTAAAATAGGCAATAGCTCAAAAGACCAAGGCTCTCGAAGTATACCTGGTCTTGGGATGTTACATTATGGGCTTAGACACATAATCCAACACAATATTGGGACCAAAACATAAGAAATCACAACCCTAAACTAGATCTACTTGAGAAAGCCATCAAGACTAAAACTTTTTACCTCCAGAAGCTAGATTAAGATGAACAAGGCTTGAATCTCCAAGCTCCAAGACAACCAACACTTCTCCACGGAGTTCTTCTTCTTTTTCCAAAAGCACAAAAATCCACCAAAATCAATCTAATGCTCAAAATCTAACCAAATGGGGGCTAAGGCTTCGAATATAGGGTTAGAGGGGATTAAGGATGAAGATAATGAGGGTTAGAAATGAGTTAAGGGCATTAAATAGGGTCCAAGACCATAAATTAGGGTTTGCATCTGACTAGAGTACGCCCAACGTACTCTAGGTACACCCAAGATACTCAATAGCACTCCATGATCGTCCCAATCTAGTATGCCCAACGTATACCCGGTACGCCCAACGTACTCAACTTAATCTAAAACGCTTATAGCTTCAAATGGTCATAACTTCTTCGTTGCAACTCCATTTTTGATGATCCTTATATCCACAGAAAGGTATTGAAGAGCTCTATAGCCCTGTCTAATTACTTTTGACTTAAAATACCTCAAACTAAAATCCTTAATTCATGAAAGGCATGGACCATCACGTTTACCATTAACACTTGGGCTCCATAGCACAAACCGAACTCTTAGATGACATAATCTACATTACCATCATCCAAATGGATCTAAACCTCTCTTTCCACAAAGCCCGACGCCTTATAATAATTGATCTCCAGATCATGATCCCGAATTCTGAGATGACTCGAAACATGTTGTTATGAGAATATTGTGATTATAATAAAGAAAACATTGTAATAGAAGGTACCGATACTCAAACTTACACTAGTAATATTAAATTGAAATACATTAAATTATTCAACAATATGAGGTGTAAAAACTTATTTTGTCATCTGATATACTTACTATAAAGGAGCCTAGTTGGCTTACTACATAGAATAAGTGGCATGATTGCATGAGCAGGTGGTTTGAAAACAGAGTGGATGGTTGGATACATAGAAGATTTCCATAATAATATGGGCAATTTGGATCCGTATAACCTTATATGCAATACGACTTCCAACATCCATTTTCGCGACAAAAATTTTTTTACTACAACTCTTGAAAATGTTCTTAGGGAAAGGCCTTGTAGATGAATCTTCTGTGTGGGAAGCGAGTTGATCATATCTTGTTGATGTAATGAAATCATCACTTAAAGATCTCGTATTTACATATGGAAACAAAAGGAAGACTATCTACTTATGATTTAGTTAGCATATTTTCTTGTAGTTTGCAATGTGAGTACCATTTTTCTCAGTAATAATTGGTCGGGTAGAGTATATATCCATTAGAACTTAAATAGAGGTTAGTTCGACAATCAGGAAGGCCATGAGCCATTAGCGAGACTACTGAACTTTGAATTCTGGAATGGTTGCATGGGGAATGAGGTAGGTTTACTATCTTAGGAGTAGTAAATGAAAACGGTGACTCGTTAAAGAGTGTAGTGTATATAGTTTCATTACTATATGAGAATGTGGAAGGACTAAATCCTTATGAAAGAGCGAATCTCGAATATCCTTTGCTATGTGTGGGTTTACTTTTGTAAGAAATAGTTATATCGCAGGTTTAGCAAGATTAAATTCGCGAAGTTGGTGGTCATTTTTTATCTCTCGATAAAACATGGTATTCTTAAATGGGAAATGAATTATAAGACCAACGAAGTTTTCAAACCGTTCAAAAAACTCCAATTATGTTTTGTTTGTTCATTAAAACCCAACGAACTTAACATTTTGTCTAAAAAAATCAACTAACTTACACTTTTCATTTAGGGTCAATCGGCTAATGTAAGTCAACGAATGACATGGCTAATGACATGTAATTAAATATCAAAAAATGACTTTTAAGACAAACAGAGTTTCAAAACTGTTCACAAAACCCCAATCATGTTTTGTTTGTTGAGAAAAACCCAACGAACTTACACTTTTGTCCAATTCTCCTTAGAGGCAACCAAATTCATTAGTTATATAACTACTTGGCAACTGACATGACATTATATTTATTTACTTGAATAAAAATATTAGAACTTCCCTTTATATATTGATTTAGGGCTTGGAGAAAAGAAAAACGACAACGTCTGTGTTTGATCTCTTGTAATAACTACTTCTTATTCTTATTCTAAATAGTTGATGTCTAACTCAAGATCTACAAAGAAGATATTTGATGATGCAAACTCTTGTGGATGTAGACGCATTTTCGGATTTGGACATCTAGAATGGATGATCATCTACAACGGAGGATCATGTCTATATTCTATCTATTTGTTTGGTTTCTTTCAAAAACAAAAACTTATTAAAGTGGACATGATAAAGCTTTTAATTACACTTACCCATCTGTTCGAACAAGCCCTAAACATTATCTTTGGATGATCCTCTGTTATTCGAGACGTCCAAATCTGAAAAGGGTGTTTACATCCACAAAAGTTTGCATCATCAAATATCTTCTTTGTAGATCTTGAGTTGGACATTTACGATTGAGAAGAAGAATAAGAATTAGCTATTACAAGAGATCAAACACATACACCGTTCGTTTTTCTCTTATCCAAGCCCTAAATCGATATATAAATGACAATTCTAATTTGTTTATGCCATGTCTTTAAATATAATGTCATGTTGTTTGCCAACTAGTTATATACCTAATGAATCTGATTGCCTCTATTGAGAATTGAACAAAAGCGTGTTCATTGGGTTTTTTATTTTTCAACAAATAAAACATGATTGAGGTTTTTTAATCGGTTTTGAAACTTCATTGGTCTTACAAGTCATTTTCCGATATTTAATTAAATGTCATCAACCATGTCATTCGTTGACTTTCTTTAGCTGATTGACCCTAAATGAGAAGTGAACTAAAGTGTAAGTTAGTTGTGTGCTTTTTAGACAAAAGGTTAATTTTGTTGGGTTTTCTTGAATACATAAAACATAATTGAGTTTTTTAAACGGTTTGAAAACATCGTTGGATTTATTAGTCATTTTCTGTTCTCAAAATAAATAAATTACTGAATTTACGATTTTAGTAGATAAGTCGGATTAATGATGTTTTTAAACAAACGTTGCAATTTTGATAAAACGATAATAATATATTAAATCCCCGACCAAAAGTGGTTTGAAGACCACCCACATATGTGTATGAAAGAGGCTGCATATGAGAGAGAGAGATTCATCTTTACATTTCTTTGCTATAATTAAGAATGTAACCTTGATTAGGTTGTGCTCATTCCCTTTAGTTTTTTAAACTTAATTTATTTTCATAAAACACCCAGCACAGACACACCTAAACACTGCAAGATCTACTTTGAATACTTGACAACGTACGCAACCAAGAAGAACAAGAAGAAGATCATCTAAGGAGCTCAAGATGTTAGAGAAGCTTGTAGCAGAAGAAACCATAATACCCAATGGTTTCACACACAACAACAGTCTTCGACTACCTTCCTCCAATCCTCCCATCATCAAGAAGAAAAGAAACCTTCCAGGAACCCCAGGCAATACCCGTTTCAAACTATCTTTTTACTTTCTTTAAGGATCGTATGTTTCAGTATAATATCATCGGCTGTTGGGAGCAATTGGGACTTTAACACTTTCGATTCATAGAAAAACCCTAATTTCAACCATTCATGATCATCATCTAGTCATTTTCATTCAAGACTTGTTAATTTTGAATCTTGTTTCACAATTTTTCAGATCCTGAAGCAGAGGTTATCGCGTTGTCACCCAAGACTCTGATGGCAACAAATAGATTCTTGTGTGAGATTTGTGGAAAGGGATTTCAAAGGGATCAAAACCTTCAGCTTCATCGGCGAGGTCATAACCTGCCATGGAAACTAAAGCAAAGAACAAGCAAAGAAGTTCGAAAACGAGTTTACGTGTGCCCGGAGAAATCGTGTGTCCATAACCATCCGTCAAGGGCACTTGGAGACCTTACTGGTATCAAGAAACATTTCTGCAGGAAGCATGGCGAGAAGAAGTGGAAGTGTGCCAAGTGCTCTAAGTGTTATGCAGTTCAGTCGGATTGGAAAGCTCATTCCAAAACCTGTGGGACAAGAGAATACAAGTGTGATTGCGGCACTCTTTTTTCAAGGTATTTTTTTTTTTTCATTTCCACTACAAGTTTAAAACATAAACCTACAAACATAAATATTATGTATAAAATGACGCCGTTTAAGATTTTTACATATATTTATACTTTTAGAATCATACGCTATCAATTATACTTTTTTTTTTACCATAATTTTCGTTAGAATATTTAAGAAAAGTATCAATAATACTTCAGATGTACAGTCCCATAAATCATTCTTTCTCGTCATCTTATCAGAAACTGATATTTTTATTAGTTTATTTAATTAAAAGTTGGTGGAAAAGACCAAATAAATATGTTTGCTGAAACAAAAATATGCAATTAACATATTTATATATGTAGTTTGAATATATAATTAATTAGTAAATTTAAAATTATATATAATGCTGTTTTTTAATTTAAATAAATATCATCTCTGTGATTTGATTTGTTTATTTCATTTAATTAAAAAAATTAGTTTTGTTCCTATCTCTCTTTCTATTGTGATTAATGTTCAAATTAAATTGAAAATTAATAAATTATATATATATATATATATATATATATATATATATATATATATATATATATAAAAGTAAGAGAAAAAAATAAAAAGATATCTAATTTTTCTTTACTTAATTCCATAATATGGAAAAAGGTTAGTAGGTTTTTCTATATATTTTAGCTTTCATTAATTAACTAATAATATATTACCCATGCATAAACTTTCAATAATAATCACATCATATGGTGCACACATCGATTTGTTATAAAGTATATAGTACACTTTCATTATTATTAATTACTTTTTTTACTATTATGATTGAAATGTTGTTCATTCTTGCATAAATATTTCAAATTATGGATATGAAAATTTGAAAAGTGAAAGGCATTAAGACAATAAATTCAAATCTAATTAAAATTATATATATATATATATATATATATATATATAATATATATATATATATATATATATATATTATATATATATATATATAATATATATATATATATATATATATATATATATATGAAGGATGTATGAAGGACAATTTAATTTACTTCTCTCATTTAACCATTACTTCAAAACTTGTTGAACTTGTAAATTATATATATATATATATATAATATATATATATATTATATATATATATATATATATATAATATATATTATATATATATATATATATATTAATACTAATCATATATTATTTATGACGTTAGCATTGAGCTACCATGACATCATGTCAAAGATAACCAAACATTTTTTGCAACCAATTAATATATGTCAGCACTATATCCAGATAACGAAAATGACCCCCCAAAAAAAGCTCGAAAAAAGAATGTCCTACACCTATAATTTCGTGTCCAAAATTACATGGCTAGTATTTGTTTGATAAAAGATAATTAGTTTCTTCATGACATAATTGGTTTATATTAATTGTCTTAGTGTTTTTAATTATTACTTAAGAAAACTGAACCATATGTATTCAGGAGAGACAGCTTTATCACTCATAGGGCATTTTGTGACGCCTTGGCGGAGGAAACTGCAAGGGTTACAGCAGCATCTCACTTTAACGACACAACAACAGCAGGATCACTTGGAAACATAAACTATCATTTTGTAGGACCACCGGTTCTCGCTGGTCCAACCATGGCTCAACACTTGTCTTCCATTTTCAAGCCCATCTCATCTAACCCCCAAAACCATCTTGACCCGACACAGCAAGGTGAGCTTTCACTATGGGCGAGTGGTACCGACAATATTAATAACGAAAACAATAAGCATAATAATCTCCAGGACATGCATCAAATCGACACGGTTTTATATGCTGATCCTCATCAAAACCACAATCCACAATCCGAATATCATTCCGATTGGGGTGTGTTTGGAATGAAAACCACTTCAGATCACGAGGTTAATGTAAGTGCACCTTCTTTGTTCAGCACACAAAGTATCTCGCACCAAACACACCCGACGGCAAGCATGTCTGCAACTGCTTTGTTGCAGAAAGCTGCTCAAATGGGGTCGACCTCCTCTGCTACGGCCAACCAATCTGCTTTCCTAGGAAGCTTCGGATTGAAATCCAGCAATAATTGTACTACAATGGTTTCAGCTACTGCTCCTAATCAAGTTCAAGAAGAGAACAGATTTTGTGGGTTGTACGGTACTAGTACCATAATGAATAACTGTAATGGAAGTGATTTGGAGAATGACTTTTCCAATTTGGAGCAGATGTACCCTCCCTCTAAAAGAAGGCATATACAGATTGAAGAACATCATGGGGGGCAAACTAGGGATTTCCTTGGTGTAGGTATTCAACCCATGTGCCATCCTAGGATCAGATTTGATCATGTGTAA